TTCACGAGCACATTCTCATCCCACTTACCATAGGTGGGTGTACACAGTGACTGTGGATAGACCGTCATCGTTGGGAGACTTCCGGTCGAGGAACGAGCAATGGCAGCAGACAGAGAGGAGAGCAAACTTGAGGCGTCGTCACATCCTCCGTCTGAGAGCATACCGGACGACAATGCGACAGCATCTGAAACCGAGGTCGAATTTTGAAGAATCGGCAAAAGGGTGTTCTCTCCCTCCCTGATTCAGCTATTCTCAGTGGTTTTCCTGATGTGTATAGTCTAGTATGCTGCGGACGATCGTCAGACGGGATGAACTTGGCGCGGTGCCAAACCCGTTATCCACTGGTTGATGGAGCGAGTAAGTGACAGACTATGCCATATCGTTCGTATCACTCGTTTTCTACCAATTTTTGCGCATACCACTTCAACAATTGGCAGAGAACGGGTTGGCGCCGTGGCACACTCACACTGCCTGACACGCCCCTTCATCCACAGCGAACTAGAGTTCAGCATGAAGCTGCCAACTGCTAATTACTGAACAATTCACAGAAAGGAGAAAGTAGGAAGTCCTGTAGAGAACAGCTCATAAATAGGGAATAGACAATCAACAGACAGGGTTTGAATAGCCAAAAATGGTCTATGCAAAGCCATAGGATGACCACTTTTTTCAAAGATTTCCTAGAGAGACTGTGTAAAAAAACCTACTTGATGCACAAACGGCGGAAAGGCTTCGTGGGCGAGTGGCGGACTGGCTACCGTCCAAATGTCTATCAGTTCCTCCGCTGAGGTTCGAGCGAGCTGTCGAGGGCGGGCTGTATAGGCCGCATTGCGAGACGCCGTCAGCCAACGGAGAGCATGAAGCTCCTGTAAAGAATATGGTGACAAATAAGGAACAAACACGTATGCTGACCAATGAAAACCTCAGTTAGGAGGACGAAGAACTGACGTTCCTCCCTTTGAAGCAAATGAAAGATTAATTCAGGGAAGGCAATATTTTTACCTTATCCTCTTCTTATAAATCTCGAAGCCAAAAGTTTTCCTATTCATGCTTGGCCAAATTACCGTATGCGGCAGAAATTGGGGTAATTTTCTTTTTTATCAAGAACACGAACCTCCAGTTGCTCCTCGGAGGAGTCCGGCTCCGGTCGAAGCGCCGTCATCGGTGGGACTACGAGACGGTGTGCCCACGAGGCGCGTCGTGGCCAAAGAGGTGTCGCTAGTGGGAGAGTGTCCCTGGAGCTGAAAACAACGATTTGTTGAACTGAAAACAGATTAATTGCTAAGAACATAAACCAAATGATTTACTCTGCTTACTAAGGGGCCCCTTTACTTGCGTCTCTTGCGTAGCTTCTTTTTGAGGACAGAACATATCAAAATGGTTCAGCCTTTCCTTTATTTTGAATCGATCAGTTACTAAGAAAATGCGATGGGTGTCCCACGAACAAATTGCTGTCTACTCAACCGCACTACTGGAGACATCGCTACTTTGCTTAATGATTTCTTCTCTTGCTCGATTAAAGCGATATGGGAGCTGAGTCCGTGAAGTTGGGATATAGCGCACGAACGCCTCGAGGCAAAATGATATTGATACCCAGTGCCGTCTATACACTCCCACCGCGCTGCCGCGCGGACAGCCACACGCCTAAGCACGGCCAAACGCGCTGCTCGTCTGCGTTCTCTCACTTTTAATTGCTCTCTACTGTTGAGTGTGTGTTTTGCTGCCAGGTCCCGGTATCGACGCAAGCGCTGCACATTCAGGGAGTGGAGAAGGTGGCACATTATCGTAGCTGCGGACCGTTTCCTCTCGCACATGCACGGACCGCCCTCGGAGGTGAGTGTAAATTCTCTGTATGTTTTAGCCCTGTAAGCTCTGTTTTAATCTAAGAACCTCCCGGCATTAGAACGTTGCTTTCAAAATTTTAAAACGGTGTGTCACCAATGTGCTAATTGTGACTGTGCAGTAGGTAATTCCGCTGTGACCCTTCTGAGAGTTACTTTCTCCTTGCTCAAGGAAATGGTAGAGATCGATTTGGAAGCCATGCATTAGTTACCATAGAATTGAAGGAGAGATTCCACAGTTGAAATCGAGTCATCTCCAGTATATAAAAAGAAGTGATTCGTATTCAAAGAATGCTGCTCTTACCTCTCCGAAGCTCTGAGTCGTGCATTCTGACTGGCTGCGAAAAAATGCGTCCGAATACGAGCCGCTGCCCCTCTCACTCGCTCCTTAAAGAAAAATTCTCGTTTGATCATGATAATAATGTATTTTTACAAATTGCAAAGCTAAGGATTGAAGTCGACAAGACGAACATTACTATAACGGCTACGATGAATATGAAATGAGTTTTCACCGTTAAATGAAAGTGAACGATCCTCGACGAGATCAGTGATTATCGGATTGAGTAAACGACAACGACGAGACGACGACATCCAAGGGAAAAATATGCACATCGATAGTCCGCGGTCTCCAATGGCGTCTGCTCTTTTTTTTGAGGATTCAAAGCATGGGGAAAAGAATGGGTGAGCCTTTTCAAACGATCCATACAGAGTCCGCGAACTGTATCCGTAACCATGAACAAAGGAGGACACCTCATCTTCGTGGATGCCCTCCGATTCCGAGCAGGATCGTTCCGATGGTTCAGCATGACGTCGCTTCAGTGGAGGAGATGACAGGTGAATATGATGGCTGGGAGGTCGTTTCAGGCTTGTGGTCTTGTCCCGCCAACGGCAACAACACTCATGCTCATCGTCAGCATCATCGCTGTCGTTCAAACTAGTGGCAGACACTGTAAACCGTCTCGTCATGGATCGCTCACATAGTCTCGTGCAAGATCTCTCAATTGCAGATAGAAGAAGCAGACCCAAGGGGGCACAAGCGTATTTGAAGATGGGGAAAAATGAAAAAAGAAACAGTGCAAAAGGACTGAGTGCGTTTTGAACGTTAGATATGATTTTGAACAACATATACCCTCCTTATCCCTGAGACGGAGTAGGCGTGGCGTATAAACATGGCACAGGATGGTTTTCACGTGGGATATTTCACTTTGAGACAACTGCCATCTTGCACTGTGTTACTCAGAGACATGACCAGAATTGTGTCAAAATGCAAATATCTTACCAGAAGCATAGACACCCTCAGGATAAGTTGAAGTACGTGGCCACGCCTACCGCATCCCAAGAATTTCGAGTGTACCTCTACGTCGCTCAGAAACAAAAAACGTAGAAAATGGGAAAAGGGCTAAGGAGAAAAAAAAATCCGACCTTCAAGTGAAGTATTCTTTGACGCTTCGGGATCACCAAAAGATAATAGCCGTGACATTACACTGAAATCTTCCCTTCCCGTAAATGGCTGCATCTGGAAATCCAGTGTACCGCTACCATCGATGTGCGGTTGACGACCTGCGTAGTCTGAAAGAATTTCAAATCAGATCAAAGAAGAGCCATTCATTTGGCATCATATATGAGAGAAAATGAGGCGGAAGTGGTGTAGTGGCGTGGCAGGCTTACCACGCGCGCGGTGCGAAGCTCAGACCTCGGATCGGCTTCCGCCCAGGCTGATCAAACTTCCTACACAATGGGAATGATAAATTGGTACCAAGATTTGTCTGGGAGGATAAAACACTGACTTGTACATCGGCTGGCCACCGCAAGTCATTGTATAGGCCACATCGCATTCAATAAGCCACTACGATTCTGAATGGAAGTAGAATGCGTGCCGCATCCCACAAAGGGATTGATCAACGGCGGTGACTTCATCATTTTATCCTTTATGAGAGAAGGCGAGCTAGTCAAGGGTTTGATGGCGAACTGCTTATGACAATAGAGGTTTTTCTTCGCCCAGCGAGGAGGCAGCGTGAATCTGTCAGTTCTGGTTATTCCGCAACAGGAACGCTCCTTATACTCTATGGAACCAATTGCACCCAGCTGTATCAGACAGATAGCCGTACTGAACCTTCACAGCTCATTAGGAAACCTTTGATTAAAATGCTTTTCCCAGAAACCTTATCAAATCATGCCCTCATACATCCACTGCCCTGACTCTGCCTCCGACTCGACCGCTTTTCATTCTCGTTGCATCTTTTTATTCATCTAGGTAATTTTGGCTTGTAGCCAGGTTACTTCCAAATAAATTGTCAGTGATGAATCGAAAATCGTGTGCTAAGGACCAACGATAAAAATATTCTGCTAGACTCTAAGCGCGGAGAGATTTCCCCCTGTATGACCGCATTTAGGTAGGGATCAAGTTTTCATAACTCACACCAAACAGCTCCCAATGAATACCGTGAGCGGTAACTTTTTGAAGTATCGAAAAGGAAAATTCCAATACAATCTTCTTGATGATGATTTTAACCCCTAAAAATTGAGCTACTGAATTCCACAAAAACAGCAGGGAGAACGTTCTAGCGTGTCGTGAGTAAACCGTAAGTCGTAATCTCACTCCATTTACTACCGCACTGCACAACATGCTCAGAGCTAATCAAGATAATCTCGACTCTAGAGCCCATAACATCAGGGAAAATGCGTCATCAAGAACCCATAGCTTACTTGTGCATTTCCCCCAGCACAAAGTTCCGGGGAATCCCAGAGGCAACAGCTAAAACGGACAACTAGCACAGCTTTTTGAGTCTATCGAATGCAATAAAACATCTAGAACATCTAGAGATAAGACAAATGAAACCCCCATCAACTGCTGACTGGACATACCTCTCGCATCATCAATCTCCTTCTTGATCTCAATCGTGATTGGGAGACCACCTTGGCTAGCCGACGACACTTCTTCCAGAATGCCCTTGATTCTAAATACAGTGCAATGTAATTGAAATCGGATATACCAAAGCAAGCTGGATTTGCCAAGTTTGCAACAGAATAGCCCAACCGAGCCAATGCAGTAATAAAAAGAAGGTGAACTGACCCTGCTAATGTGATGTACACATATTACGTATTGAGCTTTTTGGCCTTTGGATGTATGGTTGACTGTGGAAGCTTCTGTGGTCAACCAAACCACCGTATTGTTAGCAGCCAAAAGACGATACAAGGGAGTGCGTACGTGGCCCTTTGCAAACAACGTCTTCATTGACTAAAAAACTGATAGATTAGGAGAAACACCCGCTGGCAGTCGCAAGAACCCACAAACCTCCCGAAATGAAGGTAAATCGCTTGGCTCTATTAGTTCGAAGAAACTCGAGCCCATCAGAGTTTTGAGCTCATTTCTCAATATGTAATTGAGACGGTCGTGAACATATGATATCCTCATATCTGATGTATGTCGTGTCATGAAGGAACCCGTTGGAGTATCCGCGTACTGAAAAGGAAACGTTCAGATATTCTTGTAGGACCTTTCAGGACGAGAACGGAGACTATCAGTAACCTACCTTAGTTAGAGCCATAGCATGCGCATTCACTGAGCCTTGACCGGCAGGTTCAGAAGTCGCCAACATTCGCATAACATGACCACCCAAAGATCGTTCAGCACGGAGGATGAAGGAGATCGACTAAAAATCGTTCTTTCACTTTTAGAAAGCGTAAATCCAAGAAGAAGGTGGTGTAGTGGGCATGAGGTGGTGTAGTGACAAGTGGCGCGCTCACCAGTCATTGTATAGGCCACATCGCATTCAATAAGCCACTACGATTCTGAATGGAAGTAGAATGCGTGCCGCATCCCACAAAGGATTGATCAAGGCGAAGACTTAATCCTTAACCCTTTCAATCCAAGAAAGAAGAGGTCACTGAGAACTTTCAAGTCATGGAGATGAAGCACGATTTACCTAGATTTCGATGGAAAAAGAAAGCATGGACCTTGTTAAGCACGCTAGGATCACGCCATGTACACGACTTCCAGCCAATACTCAAAAGCACATTCGGGCGTATACGGAAAACACAATGACTTGAGGAGTGAGGAAATCAACCAATGTTAAAATTTTATCAATGCTCTCACTGAAGCCAACTTTACTGGCACCATAGGAAAGAGTACATTTTAAGACTGAATTACTTGCAGGCCCATGCCGATGACTGAGATGGCCGTATTTGAATGCTGAAGACAGAAGGTAGCATTTGCCTCTGAGGAAATTTTTGCGGCTTTTCCTGTTTCGAGAGCGTTATACGTCCACGCCCCTCCTCCCACACATATGCAGGCACCCTTTGGGAAAAACTAAGGAATTTTCGAGTCACTCCTGATGCCGAGATACCTACTTTGAACTTTTAAGTTGTAATTTATTCTTCCAAATAGGTTGGTAGGTGGAAGGCTTTATTGAAATTGACCTGATGTTTCGACAGAATCGTCGTCCTCAGAGGCCTACCTAAATGTTGCAATATCTAAACCTTGAGCTATGTGTAGGCAGAATAAATTACAACTTACAAGTTTACAGTAATGCAGAGGTCTTATAAAGAGAGAAGTTGGACCCTACTTGTTTTGTTTTCTGATTAACCAGGTCTGCACTTCCCAGGCGAAACTATCAGGGCGCAACAACTACATTAATCCTGATCTTGCTTATGGTTATTGAACTTGTAGGAAAGTGGTAGGTAGGCGTTGGGGAAGGGGTGGGGGTTGTACCGGACCGTTTTCTAGGGGGGGAGTCGTATCAAGACCCTTCCTCTAGGAGGGGGGGGGGTCGTACCGACACCGCCATTCCATACACCACGATGCTGTACCCTAAGGGCACCTAACCTCTGTAGATCAGGTTTCCACAAGAGTTTTTTATCGTCGTTTTGAAGCGACAGTAGTAGAGCAGTGTTCACCATGTGCACTAATGGATGGACGATACCCTCAAAGGTGTTACATACTGACTTATACCCTTTTGCAGTTTTGCAGACACGTAAGATAAAAGGAAACGAAGTTTATATATGCAAAACGGGAGACCCACAGGACCCTCTACAGTGCCAGGCAGAGCTCGCCACACAAGAATCACCAGCCCATTCCACCGCTGACAGGAGATGCGTGGTTTCACCTCTTGTGAAGCTCCTACGGACTTTTTGATGTTGTTTAGCAAACGAGAACAACATGAGCTATGGTCAAAAATAAAACATTTTCCATCGCAAGTGGAAAATGTTGCGATGGAAAATGTTTTATTTTTAACCATAGCTCATGTTGTTCTCGTTTGGTAAACAACATCAATCAAACCATCAGTGATCAGTAGTACAAGCAGTACAAGCGGACAGCAGAGTGACGAGTTGCTTCAAAGAGCCGTACTTTAAAGAAACTTTTCCTCTCATTCCTCTGGCGGCCCTACATAGAAGCGCAGCGAATTCAAATTTAAATTCTTCTTTGCAGAAAACAGCACAATTTAAGAAGAGAGGCACGGTGCTTACCTTATACAGGGCGCTTTTAAGGTTGAGATTTCGTCCACGTTGGGTAATCACCGTCTTCATTCGTAGTTCAGCGAATAAACCATTTTCCGGTGATTTGGAGACTTCAGGGCGTTCGATCAATACCGAACCCAAGTTGTTAGTGATCTCTACATATTCTGCATAATCAGTCGGATGCAAAAACTCTTTGAGCGCTCTCCCGACCAGATCTGTCTGAAAACAATGGTGCTATAATGGGACGGGCCGAATCATTTCACAGTCTTGTGCGGAGCGAAGGCTGAGGCGTGCCAAGGAGGGATTGGGTTTTGCACGGCATCTACCTGCTCTCTACCAACTGCTGAAGCGAGCAAGCTCCAGCTGGTAGAAAGCAGGCTGGCATCGCGCCAAACCCAGCCCTCAGACATGCAGCTGCATCCGTAGCGCACAAGACTGTGCTTCGTGAATCTTGAATTTATTTTGCAAGTCCGAACCAAATGGCGTGAGAATAC